CAAACTAACAAATCTGTCCTGGAAGTGTAGCCAGAATGCTCCTTAGAAGTGAGAATGGCCAGACTTTGTCTTACCTACTTTGGACCATTACATGGAGAAGGAATATTATTCTTGGTAAAGTGGAGGGTCAGCAAAAAAGGGGAAGATCCTCAACAAGATGGACTGACACAGTGGCTGCCACGATGGGCTCGGGTATAGAAAGGATTGTGGAGCTGGCACAGGACCAGGCAGTGTTTTGTTCTGTTGTTCGCAGGGTTACTATGAGTCGGTCAGCACCTAACACCACCACCACACATATACCCACCAGTAGATTGTTATGTCTGTACCTCTTAGGAACCTCTCCATGTCTTCTTCTTGTGAAATAATTTTAGATTTACAGAAAAACTGCAAAGATAATATAGATAGTTCCTATATCTCTCACCCAGTGTCAGTTTCCCCTAATGGGATCATCTTATATTACTAAGATGCAAAACTAAGAAACCAGCACTGGTACATTACTATTAACTAAACTTCAGACTTTATTTGGATTTTACAAGTTTTCTCTTGAATGTTCTTTTGTTTTTTTTCGTTTGTTTGAAGATCCAACCCAGGATGCTACACTACATTTCATAGTCATTTCTCCATTTTGTCTGGTCTGAGTTTCTCAGCCTTGCCTCACTGTTCATGACCTGGACACACTTAAGACTGGTCATGTGTTTTGCTGAATATTCCTCAATTTGTCTGATGATTTTCTTATGATCAGATTGAGATCATGATATTTTGAAAAGAATACACACAAGAAAAGTGCCCTCTCATCATACCAGGGGCTACCTAATAGCTACCTGATAGCTCTGGTAATGTAGTGCCTAAGGCACTTTACTGCTAACCAGAAGGCTGGCGGTTCAAACCCACCAGCCACTCCTCAGAAGGAAGATGGGGCAATCTACTTCCGTAGTGATACTGCCTCGGAAAACCAAGGAGGGGTCGCTATGAGTCGGTTCCGACTCAATGGCACATAACAACAACAAACCTGATAGCCACTTGACTTATCACTGGGGCTGCTAACCTTGGTCACTTGGTTAAGGTAGCGTCAGCCAGGTCTTTACATTGTAAAGTGTCTTGGTTCTCTAGTGCTGCTATAACAGAAATACAAGTGGATGGTTATAGCAAACAGGGATTTATTCTCTTATGGGTTAGGAGGCCGAGTTCAAAGTGCCAGCTCTAGGGAATGGGTGAAGGCCCCTCGACCTGGGCTTCAGCTCTGCCTCCTGTTTCAGGCCTAGCAGAACTGGAGGCTTTTTCTAATGCAGGCAGTTGCTGGCTGCTGAGGCTAATGAACCCAAGATTGACAGGTAAAATGGCACAAACCCCAGGTAAACAGGTACTCGGCAGGCCACTGGTTCAAGTCCAGGAACAATTCCAAAATTGGCATGTAACATGGCAGGACACTGCATGAAGTCTTGGCCAAATGCAAGATCCAAACGTACCAAAAAGCTAGAGGCCTTTCTCAAAGCTTGTTCTTATATACAGGAAGCAGGGCACACCCCGAAGGCAGCTATTTAGCTGCTCATAGTAGATTCTTGTGAGTTGATTACCAATCTCATCCTGGAGAACTACACCTAGCTGCCCAGTCACTCAAAACCACGGTCCAACAAGTTGACACACAACCTTAACTACCACATAAAGTTATTCCTTTCCCCTTCTCATACTCTACCCTTTGGAAGTGAGTCACTAAATTCAGCTCACTCAAGGGAGGGAAGAAGCAGCATTAAGTTTCACCTCCTGGATCGGGGAGCACTCATATATTATTTGGAATTTTTACTAAGGAAGATTTGTCTATTTGGAGATTTCATTTTAAATGCATTTCCCCCCTTTCTGCTTCTCCAGATTATTTCTCAACAAACATGCATTAATAATTACAAACAAAACAAAATAAAACTAAGCTATAGAATTACTGTCTCCTGTTACTACTTTGAAGAGCTTTAGTGGCATAGTGCGTAAGGCATTTGACTGCTAATCAGAAGGCTGGTGGTTCAAACCCACCAGCCACTCCTCAGAAGGAAGGTTGGACAATCTACTTTTGCAGTTATACTGCCTCAGAAACCCAAGGAGGGGTCGCTATGAGTCGCTACTTGGGGTGGTTTTTATTTCATTCTTTAGAATTTGCTTTTACAAAACCCCAAATCCAGAGGATTGGAGGAAACCCAGTTCAGCTACCATTTTATAGACAGGAAACACCCAGAGAGATGCTCTGGATACTGTGCCTGCTGTCCCGAGACCTCATTACACTTCACAAAGGGGTGATTTCCCTGCTAAAAGACTCCTTTTGGCTGCCATTGCTCAGTTCTGTACATGTCCCCCTGCCCTCTGCAACTGTCAGTAGAAAATATCAAACACCTTCAAAGACTTATTTCAGAGCAGGGTCACATCCATTGGTATAGGGGTTAGGACTTTTAACATATCTTTTTTTTTGTGGGATACAAACCAATCCATCACAGGAATTATCTGTCATTTTGATTTTCATTTCTCTGGTAGCTAATGATATTGAGCAACTTTTCATGTTCTTAGCCATTTGTCTACCTTTTTTGGAGAAAGGTCTTGTCATGTCCTTTACCCATTTCTAAATTGGATTATGTTTTTTTTTATTATTATTGAGTTGCATGTGTAATTTATATACTCTGGATAAAACCCCAAGCCAACCTATTGCCATCAAGTCAATTCTGACTCATAGAAATCCCATAGGACAGAGACTGCACCATTAGGTTTTCAATGTTTTAAACTTTGTGGAAGCAGACTACCACATCTTCTCCTGCAGAGTAGCTGGTGGGTTTGAACTGCTGACCTTTCAATTAGCAGCGAAGAGCTTAACTACTGTGCTACCGTTATATTCTGAATCCAATTCCCATGAGATATATAATTTACAAAAATTTTCTCCCATTCTGTGGGTGGACTCTTTACTTTCCCAATGCATAAAAGTTTTAATTTTGATGAAGTCTAATTAATTTTTTCTGTTGTTGCTAGTGCTTTTGGTTATCATAGCTAAGAAACTATTGCCTAATGCAAGGCCATGGCGATCTATGCATTTCTTTATAAAAAATTTTATAGTTTTACATCTTACATTTAGGTCTTTAATACCTTTTGAGTTAATTTCTGTATATAGGAAGATGTAAAGGTCCAAATTCAATCTTTTGAATGTGCCCATCCAGTTATCTCATTTCTTAAAAAAGCTCTTCTTTCCCCATTAATTGGTCTTGGTACTCTTGTCAAAAATTGACCATAAATGTGAAGATTTATTTCTGGATTTTATATAGATCAATGAAATATTGAGCCAGCTGAGTCAATAATCCACTTATCTATATGTTTATTCTTATACCAGTACCACATTCTTTTATTTTTATTTTTATTGTGATTTGGGTGAAAATTTATAGAGCAAATTCACTTTCCACACAGCAGCTCACGTATACTATCTCATGACATTGACTGCAATTGCCTACAATGCAACAGCCTCCCCCCCGCAACTTCCTTCCCATAGTTACCTCTTCCCTGTGTCCTTCCCTCTCATGCACTCTTGCCCCCCGAGCTTCCTCCCTGCACATACACAGCCTTTCTATCCTCTCATGATTGACCTCTCCAAGGAGTGTATCTACCTAATGTTAATGTTCAGCTCATATGCCTGTCTTTTGTTTGGGTGGAAGCTACAGGAGTGGGTTCAATTCCATACCTGAGGGGCAGCTAGGGGGCCATAGTCTCAGGGGTTCCGCCAAGCTCCAACAGACCAACAAACCTGGACTTTTTTTTTTTTTTTTTTTAAATGATTTTGAGTTTTGTTCCACATTGTTCTCCCACTCTATCCAGGATCTCCTACATAGATCCCCCTCTCACTGGTTGACTCTGGTAGCCAGGCATGATCTAGTCTTTTGGTCTCACAGTCATGTAGACTGAGGATCTCATGGTGCCCCAGTCTCTTGGACTAATTGTTTTCATGTGTCTTTGGTTTTCTTCATTCTTCTTTGCTCTGAAAGAGGACAGACCCATCACTGCATCTAGATGGCTGCTTACAAGCTTTTAAGATCCCAGTTGCTACTTGCTAAAGTAGGATGTGGAACAATGTTTTTGTGTAGTACATTATGCCAATCAATTGAACTTGATATCCCCTGCGACCATCGTCCTGAGCCCATAGGTCCAACTACTCACTCCCTCCAGGTAGCTGCCTGTGGCCAAGAAGTGACTACAACCTTGATCCTTCTCAGTTCTACCATATACCCAGTACCACATTCTTTTAACTATTATAGCTTTTGTAGAAAGTTTTCAAATAGGGAAGTGTGCTACTCCAACCATGTTTTTCTCCTTCAAGATTGTTTTGGCTATTCTTGTGCCTTGAATTTCCCTTGGAAGTTTAATGGGCACTGCATTCATCACTGTACTTTTTTAAAAGAATTAGAAATATATAAAACCAACAAAACAATACAAAACCTCACTGCCACTGAGTTGATCCCAACTCAAAGTGACCCCTCCTTCGGTTTCTGATGAGGTAGAGGTATCTCTACGGAAGTAGATTGCCCCATTTTCTTTCCGAGGAGTGGCTGCTGAGTTTGAACCGCCGGGCTTCTGGTTAGCAGTCAAATGCCTTAGGCACTATGCCACCAGAGCTCCCCCAAAATCAAACTTACTGTGGTCACGTTGATCCCTACATATAGAAACCCCTCCTTGAGTTTCTGAGGTGGTATCTCTATGGAAATAGATTGCCAAGTCTTTCTTCTTAGGAGTGGCTGATGGGTTTGAACCTCCAGCCTTCTGGTTAGCAGTCAAATGGATTAGGGACTACGCCACCAGAGCTCCTAAAAACATATAGGTTGTTTCATATCTACATCACAGAATATCACTTAATCAGCTGTGTAGTCCCAAGTCTTCACATTAAACAATGAGAAAACGTAAAAAGATTCATTTATTGTAGACAGCACCTATGAACACAAGATTTCAGTTTGTTTAAAGGCTTTATTTCTAACAGACGCTACATATTATTAATCATAAAAATCATCAAAATCATCAGTAGATGTGTTATGGTTTCTAGGACGTAAAGCAGCTTCAATTTCTGAGTTGCTATCATCAGATTCACCCCAGAAGGCTAGAAGACAAAACCAGACAGCCAGTTAACATCTCTGCACTCTAATTAGTTCAGCTTAATTGTTTATGAAATAGTACAGCAAGAATGGCCAATTTGAGCAGTGGCCTGCAAAAGGCTTAGCAGGGATACCACATGATGTACCTGACTAGATATACCCAGAATGCAGGTCAATACTGTACAGATTTTTTTTTACTTCACAATGAGTTCATTCTATTGTTATGGAAAATACTTCACAGAATACTTCCTTTTACATTCTGTTGTACCCAACTCTTTACCATAAGATAAGGGATTTAAACTAAGGGTCAACACAGAAGCAGGGTCAGCTGGGGTGTTTTACTGGGCCTGATACCACCTCACTTTACCTACTCCTCCACTTTTATCACCCTTTTTCTTTACAAGAGTAGAGAAGAGAAGGGAGAGACATAGTGGAATAAATAGTGATATTGATCCTGAGATTAGGACTTGGGTGTATGTTGTTTATTTGGGAGGCGATCCCAGAAACCATGGGGTGGAAGGATGGGGAGAGTAATACAGGGAGGAGAGGAAGCCAATGAAGATAGGTTAAGGAGCGGGTGCTGGCAATGGACAAATAGGACTCCATTCTGCTGGGGACCCACTGAGTCTGTACAGGATACACACCAAAGTGTTTTAGCAAAGAGTAAAGAAGTAGGGTTATTTATCCATCAACTCCCATCTCTTCACTGTTTGGGGGTTGTTCTCGGCGTGGCCTGACAGGACGTGGTGGAGATACCAACAGCATTTGCTACACTGAAAATCTCTTAACATTGACTACTAACATCTACACAGTTTTACCTTCCAGCTCTGTACTGACTTCTTATATCTGTTCCCATTTATTCCTTCACCACCCTGGTAAGGTAAGTATTACTATCTCCATTTCACTGAGCAAATTGAGGATACAAAAAGTAAAGTAACTGGCCAGAATCACATCATTATTGTGTGGTTAGGCCAGGAGTCATATTCACGTTATCTGATTCAAACTCATGCTCTCAACTACAACCCATTGGGGATACAGTTGAAAGAGACAAGAGCAGACAGAATCCATGCTCAGCAGGGGATATGCCACAATGTTACTGTGGAAGGACAGTTAGATTCTTCCTGTGACTGGGGCCTTGATGGATGAAAAGGAGCTCAATGAACCAAGGAGAAGGGAAAGAACTTATTACAGAATGGAGAGCATGTGCAAAGTGACAGTGGTGTGTCTATTTGGAGAAAGTTGATTGTGGCTAGAGCCAAAGAGGGTAGGACCTTGGGAAGGACTAAGTAGGAAAGTAGGTACAAAGCCAGGCCACAACGGGAAAAAGTTTGGATTCTATCCTTCAGGTAGTAGGGAGGCATCAAAAACTCTAAAATTGAAAAATAAGAAGGTTGAGTCAAGTTTTGGGTGCTGATAGTTAGGCGGAGGATAGCCAGAAGTTGGGTAAGGGCTGCATATGAAGATAAGAGTCTACAGGAAGAGCCCTTTCATGTCATAAGCAGTGGGTATTAGCAAGGCATTAATAGCGACAATAGGAAAAGAGGCAAAAAACATTTTGTAGGTAGAATAAACTGGTCTTGGTAATCAATTAGATGTGGAATTAGGATCCTCACTACTTTATACCTATAAATTAAAATGCTAATGAAACACTTGTGGCCCATCACACCAATATGCACTCAAGTCACAGATCCTAGTTACTGTTGATGGTGTCTCCAGAACCCAGAAACTAAGTCTCTCAGAGACTAAGATCACCCTGGAGAGCCACAAGAGCTTCTCCTTTGATCAAAGACATGCTCCAAATCCCATATATATGGGAATAGATGACAAATACACATTTCTGACAACTTTGTTAAAATACAAAATGAAGATCTGGTCTCCTGTTTTTTCTCTTACCTTTAGATTTTAAGTCGGCAGTTAGTTCCCTTTTGTTTTCATGCCTGTAAAATAAAGAAATGGCCTAAGTCCTGGAAAAAAGTGAGAATCAGACTAATATTTTCACAATAAGCGCATTACAGAAGGAGCAGATGTTGTTCACCAAAAGGCAAGCAACTGCATATTTATTCTCAAAGTTTGAAAAACCAAAAGATGTCAGGACCCACTCTGGCAGGATATCTCTGCCTGACAGCATCACCACTGGCCCCATCTGCATCCACCTCCACTAGCTCTGTGGCGGAGATCCGCCAGATCTTAGCACTCTATTCCTCTGTGCACCACCATGCACCAGGCTGCTACCAGAAAATGATCACATGGACAGTGAGGTAAAGGACCTGTTTCATTTAACAATCCTCTGAAAAACACTTTAGTACTTTTGTTGTTGATATTGTTATGTGCTGTCGAGTCAGCCCAGACTCACAGAGACCCCTCCTTGGGTTTCCAAGGCGGTATCACTATGGAAGTAGTTTGCTCAACCTTCCTTTCAAGGAGTGGCTGGTGGGTTTGAACCCCCAGCCTTCTGGTTAGCAGTCAAGTGCCTTAGGCACTATGCTAGCAGAGCTCCTTCAGTACTTTTAGACAAGTTAAAATGAAATTATTTGAAGTAGGGAATTCAAAATGTTAGAATGCAAGGATAAAAATGTTGGCTAGTAGACAGTCTTTCGGAGTGGGCCCTTTCAGGAGTTCCTGTAACTGTAACAACTTAAAACATCCCTTTGGGAGTCTTGTTCATATTTTTATTATACTTAAACTCTTTAAGGTTCACACTGAATGGTCAAAGGAGATACTTTCAAATAAACTGCTACTTGTGTATAGCTTGAAATTTTGATATTCTTTCTCATGTTTATGCCAATTAGCTTGCAGATGCCATGCTTCCAGATGGGATACCCTAGTGTGCTGTCTCCACTGCTCTTCCCATAGGTCAGGATCCTAGTTCCCTGGATGCAGAAAACTCTGTGAATTCATCACATCTATTCCTCTGGACCAGATATGAAATACTTGCCTTTGGCCATTGTTGCCCTAATTTACATTTTATTTTAAGCATTTTTTTTTCCAGTAAAATAATTTCTACTACTCAAAAACCTCACTGCTGTTGAGTCGGATCCGACCCATAGAAACCCCTCCTTAGGTTTCTGAGGCAGTATCACTATATAAGTAGATTGTCCAATCTTCTTTCTGAGGAAGCCTTTTGTTTAGCAGTCAAAAGCCTTAGGCACCAGGCTACCAGAGCTCCCAATTTCCAATAAGGTTATCATTTTCTATGCTCTAGATATTCTATGCTCTAGATATTCTACTCATTTTCTAGTATCTGTCAAGGATCCCTTTAAACTCAGCACTTGTTTCTTCATGATCAATTCATTGCCTGTGGCCATTTCTTCAGGAGAGTGGCGGCCCCTCAGACCATCTGAAAGGGTCCAAAAATTACTGTCGGTCACAGAAGCTGCAGTGAGGTGGGCACTGATGTCGTCAGTGCCTGAGAAATTACTTTAAATTAGAACACGTGCGTATACATGTGCATGCACACAAACACACAGAAAGTAAACACAGATATCTGCCCACCTCCCCTAATAAGAGGGCACTGGGCTAGGTGCTGGGGAAGAGGTGGATTATGAAAAGGTTGTAGAAGTTGGGGAAAAAGCAAGATCCTTGCTGGCTGGGGTGATTGACAACATGGGGTTGAGTAAGCCATGTGGCTATAGATCCCTGAGAAAGCAAGGCACCCCTGGACTTTGCTTTTTTGTAAGACAGGATATTACAGGCAGAAACTGACAGGCAGGATGTGGTACAATGTGGCTGTGGGGAGATGATGTCAGCAAGGGTACAGAGCTACATGTGATCTCCTGGCCAGATCCCCATGGCTTTTGCTTCTTTTCTGAGATCGCATGCTTGTGTGGCTGCTTCAAAAGTATCTCACAGTCAATATGCCTATTCACAACCAAACTCATAATAAACTCCCTCCAAGTTTGGTCCCTCGCCTACCAAACCAGGTCCTTCCTCCTGTCTCAGCAAGTGGCACCCCTTCCCTCCAGTCCCTCCAGCCCTTTCCTCCACCCTTCTCCCTCCCTCACTCTTTTAGGGCTTAGTCGTGCCGAAGTTACCTTCCAATGTCCTCCACTATATCCATTTGCACTGGCACCACCCTGGCCAACACCTTCAGTATCTCCTGCTGGATCTCTGCAACAGCCTCCTAATCAGTAGCTCCATATCCATTTCCTTACAATTTATTTTCCACTCAAAAGCAAGAGTGAGCTTTTCAAAACCCAAATCTAATCACTGCTTCATTTTCTTGCTTAGAAATCTTCAAGGCCTTCCTATTGCTTCAGCATAAAAACCTAAATCCTGAATAGGGCCTCAAAGGTTGATCCCCTAGATGGGGTTAGGCTCTCCTGCTTTAGCCCTCTCCATTTCTACCTCTCCCCACTTCCCACCACTTAGTTCTTGCCAGTGGTTGTTTTACATCCGTTTCTGTGACTAACTGATGAACTACCCCTTCCCCTCTAGACAGTAAGCTCCATGAGGGTAGCTACCATATCTGTTTCAGCTCACCTGAGCAACATAGTGCTTAACACATACCAGGAGCTCAATGAATATGTGGAATGATTAATGAACCTCACTAAGTAAGGTACTCAATCAGTATTCAGTGATACATTAATTGATTTGCATGTTTTTACACCTATTCCTCACTTATTGACTATCTCGTCATTTGCATTTATGACAATACTAAAAAATCTACTATCTATTTTGTGCAATAATGATGTACATTTGGCAGTAAGGAATGGGAAGGTGCAAGGCCACAGTAACACTAGCAATGATGGTTAAAGTTATGTGTCAACTTGGCTGGACCATGATTCACAGTGATTTGGCAGTTAGGTAATGATCTAATTTGGCAGTTATGTAACAATATAGTCATCGTCCATTTTGCGATCTGATGTGGTCATTCTCCATTTTCACATAATGCTGAGTTTTGCATAACAACTTGGTCTTTGGAACCTAAATGTATCAGTAAGTGAGGAATGGGTGTACTTAATTGCTCAATCTTCTAACAGGGGCACAACTGTGAAAACTCCTGAGCTATAACCAAACACCTTGAAGAAGGGGTAAGCCACTGGACCTGTGGGATCAGGACCATAGTTGCAGGGGACATCAAGGTCAACTAGCATAACACAATCCACAAAGACACTGATACACATCCTACTGGTTCTATGACTTCAGAACCAGGTTGTTCGAGTGTCATGCTGGCAAAAGAAAAAAGCCACATACAGTGTTGCAAACATTACCACATGAAAACTATATATATAAACAAGTATTAATAGTCACTCAACTTATCAAAAGCAAGTCAGCCAACAATGTGAAGGTGACCCAGAAGGCATGTCAAATGACCTATATTTTCTGCATGGGACTTTCTAGTAAAGCAGGAAATCTTGAAGCCACTTCTCCATGAAACCACTTGTGCTTGATTCTGTTTGTCCTGTAGTCACATAACTCACTTTTCAGAACATTTAAGCTACAATGAGTCAGTGAACATCCTAGC